AACTAAGCTGTATTTGGGTCTAAAAAAAATATGAAATTTTGAGCAGACTAAAGACACAACCTACCTCATTGAAATCTTGATTCAAAAGAAAGAAATGATGAAAGGCTGAGAAAGCCAGTAGGGAACATTCTGAGCTTCTGATTGATTATTCATTTCATATATAAGTGTACATAAGGGAGCATTTCCAAGAATGAAAAGTGGTGGGTGGGGTGCCTCTGTGTTTGATTTATTACATGAGCAATATCTTAGCAAATAGAAAAGATAAGACCTCCTTATTTTGTATTCTAACTTGTCAGGATCGGTAATTTGAGTTTCTAATTCGTATGAAACTATAGTCTTAGTATTTTGACTTCACAAACATCTAAATTGAACCCATACTGCATTCAACATACCATGTGACTCACAAAAATCGATGTTTATCTGTATTTTTTAAATATTTACTTTTAATATTAAGAAATTTAATAATGTATAATAGTAAAATTTGAATTATAATCTACAGTTTGATACCAAATTTATTGACATAAATTCATGAAATAGTAGTTCAATAAAATTTTGAATCGAGTCAACAAACGAGATGACATGGTCTTTCACCTGTGACCCATCTTGAAAGGGTTAAACTGATTTCCACAAATAGTATTGGTGGGTTTTCTTTATAGCAAGATGATTGGCAAGATAAATCATGAAGTGATATTGAATTTAATTAAATTATCTGAGTTTAGGATAAGAAATAAATAACTAGACATGATGAACAATACAAAATGAGAAACATTTTATTTATACTAAAAACAGTAAGTGCAGTGTGGATATTTGCATTAGACACCAAAGCTACATTTCAGTGAACTTGTGAATTGATCAACATATTGTCTACCTTCGTGATGTCTTCTTACCAACCAACTCACCTGAGATTCCATGTAGACTATTTAAATCTACTTTCGGACATGATACCTTACAATCTCTCACATTATAGCTTATCTTGTTGAGTGCCGCCCTTTACATGCACACATTTTTTGCTCACCACAAGCCTTGATACTCCCATCTACCCTACGTATTTAACATAGTACAGCTGTGCTGTAGCATGCAAGTAGGCATGTAACAACCCTCCACCAATAGGTGTTGGACACACCCTCCTGGCACAGCGAGCTCCCTCTGTACTGCCCAATCTTCACTTCTCAATTTGGCACTGTAGAGTGAAGACGTGTTTGAATTTCACTCATGTTTGATTTAGATTTTTGTATTTTCAATTTATTCAACACTTAGTTGTTTCTGCTTTTGTTTTTTCTACAGTTAAACTTGAGTTACTGTAGGTTGTTAATTGTGTTTACACTCTCAGTTGAATTATGAATTCCGAATTTAAAATCACCATTACTATGACACTAGTTAACACTACTACTGCACCTCAACCTGCAATATCTCAGCTTCAGGATCCACACTTTCAACTGAAGGGTTCTTGGTTTTAGTACGTCATGAATTGGTGGTCTGTGGTGTCTCCTGATCCCAGACCAGATATTTCTTTTCTTGGTGAACCTTGACAGGACAATGACAATTTGGATGGCCTCTTTCCACTTTCTTCCTTTGCCATA